GTTTCCAAAAATCTTGGGATGTTGTGTAAAATTAAAATAGGAATGTATTGTAACGATTTAAAATCCTTACAATTAACTATAAACATGGGGCCCACCTGCTAATAACAAATATAAAATTCACTTTGCCCTCGTGGAAGCACAACATGTTCCAAACTGACAACTATAGAATTCCTTTAATTTATTGAACATTGTGTGAATTTTGTGCTTTCCTAATGATTCCTATATTCCATGGGAAGCACAATGGATACATTAAAACAATTCAGCATTTTAAAATGTTGCATTACTGGCCTGAAAATACAAGTTAATTTCTTCTCCAAGCTGCTTTTTCTCATGGATGAAGGTTTTTTGTTTCCGTCAGGTAGTGCAGCACCTGGCCCAGTCCCTAAAGGGTACATCAAAGTTTACAGCATGAGGTTCTGCCCTTTTGCCCATAGGGCCAGATTAGTGCTGAAAGCCATAGGAATCAAGTAAGGCTACTTTTTATTCTGCTTTACTTTATGAATGGAAAGTCATGACAATCCTAACCTTTACTTAAACACGTATGTGCAACCTGTTTTTGTGTTTCAGGCATGAAATCATAAATGTCCATCTGGCAGACAAGCCTGAGTGGTACCTTAAAAAGAATCCATTTGGGATTGTCCCGACACTAGAGACACCTGCTGGTGAGTTGATATATGAGTCACCGATCACCTGTGAATAGTTGGATGAAGTTTACCCTGAAAAGCAGCTGCTTCCTTCTTCTCCTTTTGCTAAAGCAAAGAATGATGCTGGAGTATTTTTCCAAAGTAGGTCACATGGAAACTTGCACATAAATCTTTATATTTTGTTTTTTTTTAAATTACCAAATAATCAGTTTAATGTCACTGTTTTAGAAGATAGGATATTTTTACAGGATCTCATCAGGGAGAAAGAATGGTCAGGATGTCTCAGGACTGGAAGCTGAACTGAAAGAAAAGCTTTCCAAATTGAATGAGGTAGGTGGCACAATTGAGGCTTCTAGTTTCTTTACACATAAACATATAATTTGAAAGACTGTGTGTGAATGAGTATGCTTGCAACTTTGCTTGCCACTCATAATTACTAATCAAAGGATTATTAAGATTATCTATACCTGGTCATTTTAGAGTATTAAATGCAACTCTAATGAAAGTAATATTCAATTTCTAGGACCTCGTTAACAAGAAGATCAAGTTTTTTGGTGGTGATTCCATAACAATGATTGACTACATGATGTGGCCGTGGTTTGAGAGACTGGAGGTCTTTGAGCTGCAACAGTAGGTTTTCCAGATCTTGTTGTTCCATAAAGGTTTACGTCTTCCATGTGGACTTATTTTTCTTCCTTTCAAATGAAGAAATAACAGTGCCCAGTCTGCAAAACTGTAACACAACTAAAGTAACAGTTTAATATCTAATTTGAGCTTTTCTTCCTTTGTAGCAGCTACTGAATATCTTATATTTATTTCCTGTCTGCTGGATGTTTTGCAAACAAATGTGGGTTCACATGCTGTAATTTACTTTTGTCTCCTAGCTGTCTGGATGGCACACCTGAGATGAAGATGTGGACAGAGCGCATGCTGGAAGATCCAGCTGTCAAAGCCACAATACACAGCGTAGATGCCCACAAGGCCTTCTTCAAGTCCTTCGTTGATGGAAAACCAGACTATGACTATGGCCTGTAGAAGTTTGTGCTGATATCACTGAACAAAAATATAGCTGTCCCTATATATTACTGTGTCAAACAAATCAGGTCTGTTTTCAAAATTCTGATGTGACATGTGTAATGAGTTAAAGAGTCTAAAAAGTGAATGGGAGTGATTTTCAAATAAAAATTGTCCAAAGCCAGTGGCTGGAAGAACATGATGGATGTAAGAGCTCAGAGTTATTGTAGAAATATAATATTTGTTGTAGCGTTTTATCAAAAGTAACATTCACAGGAATAATGTCCCAGCAGAACTTTGAACTGTAAAAAAGTGAAACATGTCATCATCTGTCACTGGTTTTAATATTGTAGCTGATCAGTGTGCATTAACCTCACAGTGACTCCAGCTCTTAAACTGACTCATTAATAGTTTTTGAAGCTGCTTATAACCGTTTTTCACCCACTGTGTGCAAGAAGCAACAAGTAAGTGCATCAACCAGAATGTGCTGATTCCTGATATTTCCTTTTCTGTTTTTTTTTTCTTGCAGTAAATGTTCTTGCTCTGAGTATCTGCACACACAAAGCGTATCAGTCGATGAAAGAGAGAAATGTGGATGATGGACACATCGTAAACATAAACGGGTTCGATATTTTTACTGGTGATATCAACCTGTATCATTATTATTATTAATATTATTATGTTTTCTTTTATCACAAATTCACATTTTAGAAGAGGGAAACTACCTGGTGGCTGGGCCTTAGCTTATGGGGGCCCAAAAGAGCTACATCAACAGCAGAGGCCATAGTTAGTCAATTCTGGTCAGGGGCAGATGCCCTGGCGGTCTGATCCCTGTTTGCCAAAACTGAGAATTTTTTGCCAAAATTCTTAGATGGGGCTAGTGCACAAGATTAAAACATACTGACTCAGTCTAGTCGGGCTCACCACAACACACAGTTCAAGTTTTGCAGCAGTGCTGCTGACTCCAACTGAGGAAAGAGCCAGACAGTGGAAGGAGAGTGGGGTCTGGGCATCTCTGCTCAGATTGCTGCTTTGCAACCTGGCCCTGGATAAGCAGTAGGAAATAGATGAAGGGATGGATTTACTTCTTAACTGTGCCAAAATCTCCCAGTGCAGCCTTGATTTTAAAAGCATAGCCAGGAACAGAATCAATGCAGATATCTAATTCCACTTATTATAGACTCTTTAGTCTAATGACAAGTGTCACTCATGCAGTAAAAAAGGTCTGCAGCTCAGGATTTTATCATCATATTATTATTACAACATTTAGGAAGAAAAATAACTGACACCCGATTTAAAGATCTCGTTGGGGAAAAGGTTTATTAGTCTTCATAATTAATAAGCAAAAATCCCATGCAGTATTTCAAAATGTCCTTGAGAATCTCTTAAAACCCAAAGTGACATCTGCAACATCTTTTATGGTGGCCAATCAGCAATCCAGAACCTGAATATTTCCAGTTAACTATCAACAAAACAGCTTTGTAGGCCTCATGTTTCTTACATCATTGAGACATTACTTTAAAAGAGTTACTTTACTTGCACATTAATGCATGCTGTTTAATGCATGCTGTTTAATGCTTGCTGTTTAATGCTCACCTGGTTAACAGTTTATAAATCTGTTGCAGCATGTGCGGACATCGTGTAATTACCAATCCTGATCTACATTTCTACACCGCCACAAAGTATGCTGTAACCACTCTGACAGAGGGCCTGCGGCAGGCGCTGCGTGTAGAAAACAGCCATATCCGAGCCACAGTAAGGCTTTAAAAACACTGGAGGCAGCTTCAAAAGTTACTTTAAAGCCAACATTACTGTGATGAGACACTCACACACAGTATCCACTCTTTTTTGTATTTCTCCCGGTTTGGTGGAGACAGAATTTTTGTCACGGTTCTACAAAAACAATCCTTATAAAAGCACCTGGTGCATACTCTGCATACAAGGTAAAATAATTATTCCTACACCTCATGTACTGTTGATGTGGTAACTCAAATAATAAGTCATTAATCATGTTTCACTTCTCTGACAGCCTCTGGAAGTAACAGATGTTGCCAATGCTGTTACGTATGTGCTCAGTGCCCCTCTTCATGTTCAGGTGATTTTTCTCTTATTTTTATGCCTTACTCTTTTTCTGTATAAATATCATTTTATATTAAAACACTGTTCTCCCTTCAAATCGGAGATGTTCGGATGCAAGGTACGGAGCAGGTTTAGAGTGGAACCACATGACCTCCCTGAAATTATGCACTTCTTCACTACATTTATGGGAATGATGATTTATGATCTGTTCACAAAACAGTTTTGTTTGTGATGTTTGTAATGAAATTTTCTACTAATGTATAAAATAAAATGAGAGAAGACTGGCTGGCTTATTTTCCTGAAGGAAATCTCATTTAAAGAGCAGTGCATGGTGAAAAACATACAATTTTATACAAAGTATAAAAAAAGAAACTCACAGTGCGACAGTGTCAGGCTGTGGCTAGCGATGGTAATGGGACACTCAAATTCAGAAATACTTGATTCCACCCCTTTGTGTTTTGACCACTAGGGGTCATAAAAGGTGCAGGTTAATATTTATTGCTAGAAGATTCGCTCAGAGAATCTGTCAGATTAAAATAAACTAGATTAAAATAATGCTGAGAATGCTCTCTTGGTCTCTGAGTATGTACGTTTATAAAAAAAAATAAAGGACAAACTACCAGACAAAAGATATTTGACCTGTGTGTTAAAATGTCAACATGGATGTAGGATTAAGCTTTACTGAATAACACAGCGTGGAAGATTTTCTGATGAAAGGCAAGCCTGCTTTAATCTAAATCTGTACTTCAGTCCATGTAGAGCTGGCAGAAGGGCTCCCAGTCCAGAGAAAAGCAAAGGTTAGCTAAGGACTCCCGGCCTCAGTCCACCACCTTTCTCATGTCAGTGTATATATATTCAGTTACACTGGACATACATTTGTATATATCCACAAATGCAGCTGCAGGTCCTTGCACCTAAACAAAAAGTGTAAGTCAGGAAATTGTCCCACTGTTTGGCACTTCACTCTGCTGTGCATGAAGGGACTGTCAGCAAGTCAACACAGAGAAACACAAAACAAAGAGACCCAAAAATGACCACATTGAGACTTAATACAATAAACAGACACAAAGCAACTATAGAGGCATATTACCAAAAAGATACACAGAACAATGCAGAGTAACCACAAATGAATACAATGTCTGTATCAGAGTGCCAGCTTCTTTCAGAAATAGGCCGGAGTTCTTCTTCCATCAGCAATGTGAGCCAGGTCATTTTCTGCCAATCCTCCACATGTGTGAACACAGTGGATTATTGGCTACTTCAGCCAAACAAATCCACAGAACACGATGTTCTTTCATTATCATGTCTTCCCTCAAACCACACATTGTTCGTTTGATTTTCTGCTTGACCGCCTCCCTGGATATTAAAAGCCATCGCCACAATAGTAACCAGAGGTCAACACATGACCCGCACTGTGGGCAGCAAATCTTTCTTTTTTCGGTCTTTTCATTGTACAATTACAGCTTTACGGTGAGGTTCAGTTCTTCGTTTGCATGCAAGGACAGTGCATGTATTGTTCTGGTTCCCTTTCACTGCTCTGTGACTGTACACTAGCTGCATGATATCAAACAGCAAGAAGATTTAATCGGTGAGTTTATTTTAAATGGGATTGTAGTGTTAAAAGTTAAAAGACAAAAT